TCCTGACTCTGATGAGAAAACTCCTGAAGAAAAGTCAGAAACACATGTTTCTGAAGCTAATAAAGACTCTGACTCCGAAGAAGATACAAAAGGAGAAGATGATTCTGACTCTGACTCCGATGGTGATCTAGACTCTAAAGACAGTCAAGGTTCTGGAGAAAATTGAATTTCTGAAGCAAGTGCTTCTGAAGGGGAAAGTTTTGGTGTCCAAAGTTCTGAAGGTGAAATTCAGAGGCAACAAAGAGTTAGAAGCATCCCAAGAAGATTTGCAGAGTTTGACATGTTGCAAGGCACTGAAGTAGACTTTGAAGGAGAAGTTATTCAGTGTGCAATGTTAGTAGACTCTGAACCCGTGAGTACAGAAGAGGCTCTTAAGCAGCAAGTTTGGTTACAGGCCATGAAAGAAGAACTTGATGCTATAGAGAGAAACAAGGCTTGAAAGCTGATAGAACTTCCAAAAGGAAAGAAAGCCATCAGCGTCAGATGGGTTTTCAAGCAGAAGCTAAAGCCAGATGGATCAATTGGCAAACACAAAGCAAGATTAGTAGCAAGAGGCTTTCTACAAAAGCCTGGGCTGGATTACTTTGAAGTGTTTGCACCTATCGTGAGACATGAAACAATTAGACTAGTGATTGCAATAACTGCTAACAGGAATTGTCCTCTAATGCATTTAGATGTAAAATTTGCATTTCTGAATGGTCCATTACAAGAAGAGATATACGTATCACAACCTCTTGGATATGGGAAAAAGAATCAGGAATGGATTGTGTTCAAATTACACAAAGCCTTGTATGGATTGAAGCAAGCGCCCAGAGCTTGGAATTTGAAGATTGATTCATTTTTCAAGGAACAAGGGTTTCAGAAGTGTGAGATGGAGTATGGGGTTTATGTTCAACACACTTCAGAAGGAAATAAGATTCTGGTCTGTTTGTATGTTGATGACATATTACTCACAAGAAGTTCTGAACAAGAGATATTTGAGTTTAAGAAAGTTTCGATGAATGCGTTTGAGATGACAGATATTGGGAAAACGGGTTTCTTTCTAGGGATGAAATTTATGTACTCTGAAAAAGAAATCATTTTGCATCAGATTTAGTATGAACTTGGGCTTCTGAAGAGATTTGAGCTAGAGAATTGCAAAGTTTCTATCACACCTGTTGATACGAATCAAAAGTTGGACTCTGTTTCTGATGGAGAGGATGTGGATGCTACAACCTTCAAACAAATGGTTGGTTATCTGAGGTATTTGTGTAATACCAGACCTGATATTTGCTATGCAGTTGGAATGGTCAGTAGATTTATGAGTAAACTAAAGTGGTCTCATTATCAAGCTGCTGTCAGGATTCCGAGGTATGTAAAGGAAATTCTGAAGTATGGAGTGTTATTTCCGTCTAGAAGAAAGATCTAATCACAATTTCCAAGTTATTCAGACTCTGATTGGTGCGGAGATAGATTTGACAGAAGAAGTACTTTTGGGTACTTATTCAAATTTTTGGGAGCTCCTATTTTTTGGTGTTCCAAGAAGCAACATGTTGTTGCGCTGTCAATCCGTGAAGCTGAATATATTGCAGGCGCTCTAACTGCATATCAAGCTGTGTGAATTCTGAACTTGTTGCAAGATCTGAAGATTGAAGTAGCCAAACCTCTGAAGCTGATGATTGATAATAAGTCTGCAATCAATCTTGCTAAGAACTCAGTGATGCATGAGAGAAGCAAGCATATTGAGACCAAATATCACTTTCCGAGGAATCAAGTTCAGAGAGGAATATTAGAAGTTGTGCACTGTAGCATCCAGAAGTAGCTGACAGATATTTTAACAAAGGCTATTAAGACTGGTCAATTTCTTCGCTTGAGGGATGAAATTGGTGTTGTCAGTTTTGGATAAAATATAAATTAAGGGATGATATTAGATTTAATCTATATTTTAGGAATATCTTTTGGATATTAATTTATATTTTAGAAATATCTTTTAGAAGATATTATTATATCTTTTTATATCTTTGTTAGAAGGTATTTAGGATTTTATTTTGTGTATAAATAGCCTAGTGAGATAGCTCAATGTAATTCATTGTAAATCATTATTCCTTATTTTGTAGCCGTCATTAAATATATTTTATTTTGCCTTTCATCTCGTCTTTGTGCATCGATAAAAACATACATTTTACACCAGTCCTTAAAGACCACCGATATTAAAACATACATTTTACATCTGGCGGTAACAACAACCGATGTAAAATATGTCATTGTAAAATAATAATGTTAACCCCATTTTTCACATTGGACAGTGGCCCAATGTAAAATATCTTTGATTTACTAAATCGCTTGGATTTACATCGGACCCAAAACCAATGTAAAATTTACTTTTCGCCCGATGTAAAAACTCTTTCCTGCACTAATGGAGGTACGAGAAAAAAACATTTTGATGCAATTCATGAATCTCTTATTCCTTGTGTTAGCAGTACGACACTGAAGGAAAATTGAGCGCGCTTCCTTGAAATGAATCATCTTATAAAAAGTGCATATAATAAAGTGTGTATTGATCTAACAAGATATGACTTCTCAGAAATATTTTTTCCACTTCAGAGTAGCCCGTCTTAAAATCTAGCCAGACGTGTTATATGTATTAGGTGGCATTCAAAATTACTACATTTTGTTTAAGATTATAGTAAATCGAGATGTACTATACCACAAACATCATCAAAGTGGACAACTCTGAAACTTGGCCGGATAACTTTTGGATGGGATGAAAGAATTCTTCTAGTTGAGTGAGATTGAAAGAGAATCAAATAAGTAAAACTCAAAGGCGAACCCACCCATAAGTATAGATTTAGGTGGTGTCACATGTTTTAATGCATTTTAATTTTTATCTAACAATATATTTAAGTTCAAACAATATTTTTTATATATAAAGATGGATTGTTATATCAACAATGTAATATATATATATATATATATATATATATATATATATATATATATATATATATATATATATATATATATATATATATATATATATATATATATATATATATATATATATATATATATATATATATATATATATATATATATATATATATATATATATATATATATATATATATATATATATATATATATATATATATATATATATATATATATATATATATATATATATATATATATATATAACATTAAATTATAAATATTAGTTGTAAAATTATCTATGTCAATAACAAAAGTTTCTGTTTGTGAATAAAATATTATAGCAAAACAGTTTATGAAAAATAACTATTAGCTTGGGTAAATCTGAAATTTAAGTTTTGGAAAAGCTCTTTTCTTGTGTGTTTGTAAACCTAAATGAGTAATTTTGAATGTTAAGTTTCAAAATATCTTCATAGACATGATTGAGTTTCTAAGGTCATCATTGATTTAAAATTTCTATAAATATGAGTATTCCTCGTGTTGTTAAGTAAAATACTACAAAAATATCTTAATATTCGTATCTCATATTTGTCTACTTCAACGACGAGAAATCCTTCTTGAATTTAGGTTCAAAAAGATCATTCGTCTTGTCGATTTGAAATCCATACTAAATAATCTTTTGAGTTGTGAAACTCCATTATCGTTCACCTTCAATTGACAATAAAAAGAAGATACAATTCAACAAGTTTGAGCTGAAGACAAATGAAGATCTGATTGTTATATAAAATACATTTCACAGTCACGTAACAAAGGATCTGATCGAGGTGAATATGACTGTTATGAGATTGACCGACGATATTCTAAAGATGTTAGAAACGTTTTAAATCATCTTTTGATAATAAAATATAATATTAAATTTACGGTAACAAAATTTATATAATATTACATATTTTATATATATCATAACACATATTTATGTTAATTTATGTTATTCTTTCTATTTTTTAATTGTTTTTGGTGTGAGATAATAAAGAGGATTTTAAAAGTTATCGTCGTAAAAAATACGAAACTTAACTTTCAAATGTATTAATCTATGTTCTAACTTGAGTCTGAGTTTTAACTTTAGTTGATTTTTGATGTGTCAAAGAGGTTAAATCTTGAATTTTAAAAGTATAATTAGTTTTTTTACTAGTGTTTGAATAGCATTAAAGGTGCAAAAAGTATACCAGATATTCCTCACTCAACACACGTTTTTTTGAGTCGGTCCCTGAGGTCATAATCCTAGCCAATCATTATCACTTCCTAACGTGTTAACTAATTTTGAAGTTTTAAATTCATGACTTTATAATTAGGATGATGGAAAGTTCTTCACCGTGAAAATATAATATGCAATTTACATGTACTAATGTGCTGATAATTTCATCGGTTGATATTGAGAATAATTCAAATCTCACCCTTGTATTAAAAATAGAGCATGCAAATAGTTTATATAGAGAGACATCTATTTTAAAAGTCAATTTTATAGATTATAAGTTAGATTAAGTTTTCTCTTCAAAATAAAAAATTAGATTAAATTTTAATTTTATCATGTTATCCTAATTTATTGATTTAAGATATCCACTATTTCTTCTACTAAACCAACTAGGATTGATATTATTTGTTAGAGAAATTCGAAAAGACTTTAATATTCATAGTTACAACAGATTTTGACATCATATATTTATCAAAAATTTTAAAACAATGCGAGTATAAATCAATGTTTCTTCCATACATTCAATATTTCTTCTATTTTTAATCAATGTGAAACTTTAACATTTTCACACTTAATCTAACATATAAAAAAAGCCAAATGACATTTTGAGTCATCCACAATACTCTAATTCTATCAATAAATATATTAATAACATGTAGATAAATAAATCAATAGATGATATTATATGTATATATGCTGAACTATCAACCTTAATTTTCCAACTTCATAAACTACTCATTTTATTAAGAAATCTCATCACCATAAACATCAAATTCAAACTTTGCATATAATTAATAAACATCAATAGAATCATCATAAAACAAATACATCAACTAGTTTAAAATGGTGACCTACTATTGTTGTTTGAAAAGCCCTCTAAATGTGAAAGCAAATCAGGTGTCAATCGAAGCAAACGAAGATTTTTCTCCATTTTAATTTCTGTAATACGTCGAAGAGTTGAATGATACTTGTTCAGATTATCAAGACTAATAATGCTCTGATAGAATTCGTATTGGAGCTTCGCAAGTTTCTCTAACTTATCAATCTCATGATCTAGATCACGAACATAAACTCGATCCACCTTTGCTAGAACATCCATAGCAATTTCTTCAACTAATTCCAATTCTGTCCTGTACATAGATTAACAAAAATAACACATTTAAAGATCGAATGTTTCAACAATAAAAATTACATATATAATAAAGATTATACAGAAAAAACAGACAAACAGACAACAAGCTGTTCGGTTACACGTTTTTAGATGGCAAAATCAATCATCAGAAGTTGATTGATATAAAGTTACCTGTTGATATTGCAATCCCAGCCAGAAAAATTAGCAGCTTCTGCCAAACCTTTCCTCCATTCTCGCACCTTATTCACTTCCTCAAAGTTCCTCTCATGCTTAGCAAAAGCTTCAGCATAGCTTCCCCTCTGGTTCCTCACAAAAGAAGGATCAACATCATAGAAAATCGGCACAACAATTTGCCCTCTGGTCTCTTTACATTCGAGTATTTTCATAAGTTCTTCCAAACACCATTTTGACTCCGCGTAGTTTTTTGAAAAAACAACCACCGAAAGCTTGGCTTCTTCGATGGCCTTAACGAGAGAAGCCGGTATTTCATCGCCACTTTTAAGATTGTTGTCTATGTAAGTTTTTATGTCTAATCTTTTTAAAGCACCGTTAAGATGGCTTGTGAGAGTGTTGCGTGTGTCCTCACTTCTAAAACTAATGAACACTTCGTGCTTTTCTTGAGGTGTATTGTTGGATGAAGATGATGAAGATGAATATGGCCATGCCATGTTGATGCTAATGTATAAGTGAACGTGACTATATAATATTTGTAAGAACTATGAATACTCGTTTAAATTTGAAAGATTTATCCTTCTATAAGCTTTCATGGAAGAAAGATAAGGGTAGTTTGTTGTTTGAGACAACTCAGAGTTTTGAATTTCGTGGTTACTTCGTTTAAGACGAGTTAGCACATGGTAAAGTGAAGACTTTATGTGTGAAAAGAATACAAGTGTTATGCATAAAAACCGGCGAGTCAACCATTTAAGAACAAGTTGGCACTATATATGACAAAAAAATATCTTCCATTTCTCATTAGACTTCAAATGTTTAAGGGATCAATTACATATATAGACTTTGAATATGATCTATATATATTTTTAATAGTATCCCACTATGCGTTTAATTAAGCGCAATAATGAATGTTACAAATACTTTGACTTTCACCATGAAATTAACTAAATCAAACATTGACAAAACCTTCAAAAATGATAGTTTTATGATTACAATGTCATCGTCCATTTTTGTTTTGAGGGAAAAATGTTTACCAATATAAATTAAAGAAGTGTTATATTAGCATTGTATAAACCATCCATCATTTTAAACTATAATTAGAACTAGAGTTATTTTATTGGTTCACAAGCCGAACATTTATAGAATTTAATTTGTAGACAAGGTATTGAACCTATTGGCTCACATAGTGGAATGAAATAAATTAGGAATGTAGAATTGGTCATGGTTTGTAATTCCTAAACAATTCACTTTGCTTTGAATTCTGCACCGATTTTATGGTGTGTTTGTTCTGCGGTTACAATTCAGAAGTTACAAAATAAAACTTCAGAATATTAATGTGAAACATGTTAAATTGTAATTTGATTGTGTCGAAATAATGTGTATCGAAGGGAGGCTGCCCAGTCGAAGAACTTGTGGATCGAAGCAAGTTACATACAGATTTGATTGGTTTTAGATTTAGATCTAAAATAGATAGATTTGATTTAGTACCAAAATAGGTATTTTGGGCTTTGACTTAGGGAGCAAGCTAACCTAAATCTATAAATAGAGTGAGTAACTCCTAATTTTGTAATTAAGTCAATTCATTGTAATTACAGAATTTGCAGTTGCAAGTGATTAGTAAAATTTTCCACAGTTTGTGTGCAGAGAGAAATTCTGCAGAAAATAATTGTCTTCTTTCATTTCTTTTCTTATAATTCATTATCATTGTGTGGTGATATCAATCTTGTTCATCAAGATTGGTAGAAATTCATCATAGATATTTGGTGGATTTCCAACATCTGATATCAAGAGCTCAGTTAATCGATTCAAGGGAAGTATCAATCAAGAACGATTGAGGAAGAAGAAGAATTCACTATGGAGAGTTATGAGAATGCAAATTATCTAGCAACTCTACCAATTCTGAAAGTAGACAACTATAAGAATTGGTGCAAACAGCTGAAAGTTTTATTCAACTGTCAAGGTTTTTGGGATCTTGTAAAGGATGGATTAGAAGCGCTTGGAGAAAACGCTTCAAAAGAAGAAAAGAAGAAACACACAGAATCTGAGAAGTTGAGTTATAAAGCACTATTTATAATTCATCAATGCCCGAGTCCAGAAAATTTTGAAAAAGTGAGTGATTCAGAATCTGCAGTAGAAGTTTGGGAGGTTCTTGAGAAGTCTTTTAGTGGTGCAGAAAAGGTGAAAGAAGTGAGGTTACAAAATCACAAGAGAACGTATGAATTGATTCAGATGGAAGATAGTGAGAGTATATCTGATTTCTTCATTAGGGTTACAAAACTAGTGAATCAAATCAAGGTATGTGGAGAAATATTAATAATAAGAGTTGTTGTTTCGAAGATCTTGAGATCTTTGGCTCCTAAGTTCGACCACATGGTAGTGGCTATAGAAGAGGGGAAAGACTTGTCGAAATTGACAAAGGAAGAGCTTCAAGGGACACTTGAATCTCATGAACAAAGAATGACTGAAAAAGCTGCAGGTAAGTCGAAGAGTGATGTGGCTTTGCAAGCACATTCAACAAAAGAAACCAAAGGCAAAGGAAAATGGTTCGAAAGAGGTAGAGGCGGCTACAATAAATTGACTGGTAGAGGAAATCAGAACGAAGGAAACATGTCAAATCAAAGAAGATCATACCAAGACAACCAAAAAGGTGGTGCTGCAAATAAAGGAAGATGTGGTGGTCGAAAATCTGATAAGAGTCACATTCAATGTTGCAATTGTCAGAAGTATGGTCACTATTTGAGTGATTGTCCAGAAAAGTGAAAGAATCAAGAAAGTGATGCAAATTTTATAAAACATGAAGAAGAAGAGATGATGCTGATGATCACAATAAGAGATGAAGATAGATTCAAGGACCAATGGTACTTGGATTCAGGATGCTCATCACATATGTCTGGAAGGAAAGACTGGTTTGTCAACATAAAGCCCTCAATGAAAAATATGGTAAAATTCGCAAATGACAATACCCTAGCAGCTGAAGGTATTGGTGATTTTATGATTATGATGAAAGATGGCAAGAGGTCAGTAATTTCCAATGTGTTGTACATATCAGGAATTTAGAGAAATTTGCTCACTATAGGGCAGTTGGTCGAAAAGAATTATAAAGTATTGATCAAAGATAAGATGATGAGAGTCATTGATACAAATGGAAGATTAATCTTGAAGACTCTTATGTCTCAAAATAGAACCTTCAAGATCAAACTAAATGTGATGGAGCACAAGTGCCTTTCGACTGCAACTAGCAGAGATGAATGGATATGGAATTATCGACTAGGCCATCTCAACTTCAGAGACATCAGAGATTCGAAGAGAAGAAATATGGTTTCAGGATTGCTAGAAATCGACATTTCAAACGAGGTATGTGAGGAATGTGTGCAGGCGAAACAGCACAAGAATAGGTTCAACAAGGATGCAGGAAGCATGTCAAAGGTTATTCTTGAAGTCATATACTCTGATGTATGTGGCCCAATCTAGGTGGATTCGATGGGAGGTAACAAATACTTTGTTACATTCTAGATGATTTCAGTCGAAAGTTGTGGACTTACCTGATCAAGAAGAAAAGTGAAGTGATCGAGGTATTTTCCAAGTTTAAGTCTATGGTTGAAAGACAAAGTGGTTGAAAATTGATGGTGGTGGAGAGTATGTGTCGAAAGACTTCGACAGGTTATATGAAAAGGAAGGGATTGTGAATGAGGTGGGACCATCCTATACTCCACATCATAATGGAACTGCAGAAAGGAAGAATCGAACCATCATGAATATGGTGAGAAGTATGTTGAAAGGAAAGAATTTACCTAAAGAGTTTTAGGGTGAAGCTTTGTCAACTGTAACATACATTTTAAACAGATTTCCTACGAAGAAGCTAGAAGGAATTACTCCAGAAGAATGTCGGTCTGGTGTGAAGCCTAGCTTGAGTCATCTGAAGGTATTTGGATCTATTGCACATAAACATGTGCCAGATCAGTTGAGAAGAAAACTTGATGACGGGTCGAGTCAAATGATTCTAGTTGGATATCATTCAGCTGAAGGTTACAAGCTATTTGACCCAGTGAATAAGCAGATTGTGATAAGCAGGGACGTGATCATAGATGAGCTTAAAGAATGGGATTGGGGTGATAATGTCAAGAAAGGTTCAGTGGGAATCCTACTTGAAGAACCAGAAACTCAAGTAGAAAGAGAAGTACGACAAGAGGAACCAGCAGTTATAGATCAACCAAGTACAAGCAGATCTCAAAGAACAAGACACATGCCCGCAAGATTACAAGATTGTGTGATTACATCAGATGATGTGATAGTTAATGAAGGTGAGTAGGTACATTATTCTTTCTATGCAGATGTCAAATCTGTCAATGCAGCTGAAGCATTGAAGGATTCAAAGTGGGTGAAAGCAATGAATGAAGAAGTGAAGTCTATCAAAGACAACAACACTTGGTCACTTGTCGAATTTCCTCAATGCAAGAAGGAAATTGATGTCAAGTGGGTATACAAAGTGAAAATAAATTCCAAAGGGGAAGTAACTCGACACAAAGCAAGGCTTGTGGCGAAAGAATTTCTAAAGAAAGAAGGAATAAACTTCGATGAAGTTTTTACACCTGTTGCTAGGATCGAAATAATCAGATTGATTGTTGGTCTAGCAGAAATAAACAGATGGTACATATGTCAGATGAACGTGAAGTGTGAATTCCTGAATGGACCCTTAGACGAAGAAGTTTATGTTAAACAAACAGTTGGATTTGTGAAATAGGTTCCTTCTTACAGCCCTACTATCCAGGCTTTCATATCGAAGTAACCCTACTATCTAGGTTCCTTCTCACATCCCTACTATCCAGGCTTTCATTTCGAAGTAACCCTACGACCCAGGTTCCTTCTCACAGCCCTACTATCCAGGCTTTCATTTTGAAGTAACCCTATGATCCAGGTTCCTTCTCATAACCTTACCATCCAGGTTTCCAGACAACAATCCACAACACTGTAAGACCAGGATCAGATCAAACGAGATTGGTTTCGCATTTCCCCAGTAGAGTAACGAACAACTGAAGCTCCTAAAATTCTATTTTTCCCAAGACAGATACCAATGTTCCTTAGCAGATTCCTCATCAACAATAGCAACAGGAACTCTCATCGAAGGAATGTCTCAGGAAATCAACATCCTCTAGATGGCATCTTTAAGCCCATCTCCGGCAATATTCTATCGCCAACTTCCAAATGGCATCTATAAGCCCATTCCCGATATCACAAATTAAGTGCCACTTCATGCGAGTGCAAATTTCTGGGCACTCTAGTGTTCAATCATCTTCTACCTTCAGATCACGAAAGGAAGAACAACCAATCTACATCCTCAGTTTTAAGAAGATTGAACAGGGGCAGCTGTTGTACCCCAAAATTTTCCCTCTCATTTTACTAAATACATACTCCTAGAGGTCCTCAATTGGCTCAAGCTTGCCCAAGAGTTGACAAGACAAACTCTCTCCTAAGGCATTGTCTCTCAAATTAGGGTTTC